TTCTTACTGAACATGAACATTTCTCCACTCGTACCCCTCCCCTTGAAACAGAGCTGGTTTCTGATTGGATAAAGCAGTCAAACAAAAATCCTCTGGATTGGCCTTCTCAAATCCTCGACCTCAACCCAATTAAAAATTTGTCAACTATGCTTATAAGCTGAACCAACCTAATTAAACAAAACTGATATATTTGTAAATCTATGCAGAGCAGCATCTATAACAGTTTTTAGAAACTTTAAAACCAATAAACATCAATCCAAGATTTTTATCACTGACACTCCGTCGTCTCTTCAGTCATGCAGCTGCTGATACAGCTAGAATTCATACTTTCAACAGACATTTTCATTATAAGACGCTTCATCTGTCTTTGTTTTTCCTTCTCAAAGGGCCATTCCAGGAGTTTCCTGACAGGAGAGCTGATTAAAGAATCATCCCCAGTCACTTGTCAGCACAGATATGTGTGGAAAGGAGATTTCTCCAAGTTCATTACCAGTCAAATAACCAGAACAAATGCTCACATTTCCCCACTGTGCTGTATCAAGAAACGAACACGGTCTAAACCTTTCTTCTTGGTTGGCAAACCTGATTCGAGCACTTGGTCCTGATGAATGGCTTCTGGGTGAAACTGTGAAGTTTTCTCAGCCCAGCTCAACCCTGAGAGGAGATTTAACTTTCTATTAACTCCCATTTCTTACATAAAGCTCAGGTGATTGTTGTTCTAAGAGCCTATTTCCATGGGCTCAACTTGGCCCTACTCAGGTCGACTCAGCACAGATTCAAGGTCTTTCCATTAGGTGATGCTACCCCCTTCCACCTCGGTTCTTAGGATCTACTCAACCAAGGTTCCAAGTGAGCAGAAAGAAGGCCACTGATTTGACAGTCTCCTTCACATAACTCCAACATTTTTTAAAACCCCAACCTTTTAGAGGGAACTAGACCAAATGTACTCGATTTATGAGTCCCGACCCGCGGAGGGAAAGTGGCCCTGGCTTGGCAGCAGTGTTTTTGGAAACAGAAACTTTGAGTTGTAGAGGATGGTGAGCGTTTTGTGACTATTTCATTTATTTGCTGTGTTTGTCTTTGGTTGGAAAAAAAAAATACAGCAGAAGTTCCAAGCATTCACATTATGATGAGCACGCCCACATCGAGATGGCAGTTGCGCTCTAAGAAAAACCACCAAAACCACGTAGACCCAAAAAGAGTCTAAGAAAGTTGTGTTGAAATTAGACAATGGAAAAACGGCTTAAATAAACTTAAAGGCATACAAATTGGAATTATTGTGCTCCAGAGCCTTTTGTAGCCTTTTTAGACTTTACTAGAAGTCATGTTATAGTCAAACTTTGAAGCATTAGGCGTGCCTAGTTTGGGCTGGAGGGAGCTAAAAGACCAAGTTCCTGAGCTGAGCATCGTAGGACTAGCAACAAAAACATAACCCTGATTGAAACGTGTACCCATACAGGAAGGAAAACGTAGAATATTGCAACATCTATCTAATGACTGCCTCTGAACACGATACATAAACTCTTACTGAGAGCCGGTGGATAGTTGGATGCCCAGACAACTGGGTGGGTAAGAGGATCCAGCTAATGTACATGTTAACACATAATTTCTCTAAAGACCAATGAGTTTGTCAAGCAGGGTTGCTGCAAAATCAATGAGAGGATTTTCACATCGATCCTAATATTGATTGCTTTCAGTTAACAGAAGGCTTTGTGTATGGAAGACGTGAAATAATTGGTCTGACTGATGCCGGTTGAGCAGAGGCTCTTTGGAGATGAGGATTTATGTTATAATTTACAACACCATGATTCAAATTTCTGTCAGGCAGTCAGTTTATTTCTCCAGGGTTTTTATGAATAAAAGAAAACCTTTATAGCTCTATAAAAAAAAAAGGCCAGTTCAGGACTGGAGACTCTGGTAGAACTTCAGTGGTGTGAGCCTCTTTTTAAAGGCATCTTTTCAAAACATCCGTAGCTACAAATCTCAAAAGTCGTGCCCACACCAAGCGCCCGCAAACTCAGGATTCAGGGAGACTAAAACTGAAAATTTGACTCTTACAATCTTGAGTTGTCGACTTGTGAAAGAAAACATTTTTATTTTACTGGATTCAAAAATTATTTGTGCTGTGGTACATGATTATTGTCATTGTTATCAAAAGGACATTTCATAATAGTATACATGGGTCGCTTTATCCAGCTACTTGTAGTGGTGGGCAGATTGATACCAGCATTATTACCATCGATCGATATCAGTTTAAAAGTATCAATATTTAAATTAAAAAACACAAGAAAAAAACTTTTTTTTTTTTAAGTGCAATACAGATGTGCTAGCTAAAAAGCTATTGACGTAGTGTTCCACTTCTCTCATGCATCCCCCTCCCCTCCAGTCGACAACCACTGGTACAAAAATAGTGCACGTCTCTCTAAACCCCACCCCTCGACAAATATCCTCCAAGAGATGAGTGTCCTGTCAAAGCAAGTGACCTAGAGGAAACACTGTTACAGATCTTATAGTTCCATATTTTCCTAACAGAGCACTTGGCTCTCACACTGCAGGTTTACTTATGGTTCCTAGAGTTTCCAAAAGTAGAATGGAAGGCAGAGCTTTTAGTCATCAGGCTTACCTTGTCTACTTTTAAGACTAGGCTTAAGTCTTTGATAAATCCTACAGTTAGGGTTGGCTTGGGTTTCCTGAGCTATCACTTAGTTCTGCTGCTATAGGCTTGGACTGCTGGATAACAAATTGACCACATTTCCTCACTGCTATCTTTACTCGCTCTGTTTGTGTTTGCAATTAATTCTGTATATTGTGTTTTTCTTCCCATAGGAACTACACCTGGGCCATAGGAACTACACCTGGGCCATAGGAACTGCACCTGGGCCATAGGAACTGCACCTGGGCCATAGGAACTGCACCTGGGCCATAGGAACTGCACCTGGGCCATAGGAACTGCACCTGGGCCATAGGAACTGCACCTGGGCCATAGAAACTACACCTGGGCCACAGAAAATACACCTGG